TTCAGCTTCGGTTTTGAAAACTCGGCCCGCTGCAACTTGTAATGCGGTTTGCAGCGCAACGGTACGCTCGACAAACTCGCCATGCCCACTGAAAATGTGGCCGCTTGAATTATTAATGTAACTTGTTTACATTAAAATTGTTGAACGTTTACAACGTTTAAATTGTTGACGTAAAACCACGTCAAAAACGGCCGATTTCACCTTGTCAACACGTGTGCACGTGCCACGTGTCACGTGGCAGAAAAAACTTACCAGATTACGATGGTCCATTCCGTGCTCTATCGCACTGTGCATGCTGCATGTAGCCGCGACCCTTGGTTGCCGAGATACGGCTTCGGAAAGCGAAGCGTGTCGGGCCGTCGGCCGGAATCGTTTACTCGGCGTCGCCCGTGTTAAAAATTTGGGGGTTCTGCGCTCTTGTTTCATGCAGCACGCGCTCGTTTTTGCGAAATACAGAATTTTGACGCGACTTTGTCACGCGCCGTAAGCGGGCCTTGGTCATGTGCAAATTTCATTGGAAAATTCCTGACCGTTTAGCCTGCAGATGATCTAACTCAAATGTGCAGGCACACATAAACACTGTTCCTGTAGTGATGTAGAAGAACGAAGGAGAAGAAGAAGAAGATACCATTCGTGATTTGTGTATGGTAGGTTTGTTTGGAAGTGACGAATGTGATTTGATGTCTCTTACTCCCATGCTTGTTATATTATTATGATTCATTATTGGAACTACCCATATTGAACTTGTTGGTTTGCAGATCAAATAATGCCAGCTATTTCAATTGTTTAAATGCAAAGAATGATCTACCCAATTCGCAAATGATTTTTGCCGAATGTCTTTTCGCAATGGCAAAATATTTTGACCTGTTTAATCCATGTCTGGCAGCAGCAAAACAGTTCATAATGGCATGTTACAGGCGATGCTTTGCTGGTCTCCTGTCTACCCTGAAAGACAAGCAGGACACTGTCTTGGAGTCCCTGGAGGAGCATGCTTCTGGTGTCAAACCTGCTTTTGAGCAGGTCCAGACTGCTGGGCAGGAAAGGTAAGGCACATGCAATGTTAAGAGCAATGTGCAATTCTTGAACATTCCTGTATGACAAAATGCGCAACAAAGCTGGAAAAGTACCAACAAACTTTGTGTGGACTGAGCATAGCCAACTTCCCAATGCAAATATTTATAGGACCAGTATGGCAACCATGTTAAAAAAAGCACTCAAAGGAACTAGTCATGCCGTTGGATGCCTGGTAAATATCCCCGCTTGCCACTCTGTTATAACCAATAGTATGTGACAACAACAATAGTATGCGAAGGTATGGTAAAGAGCATTGTATGAATGCAACTGTGCCCTTTGAAAATAGTAAACCAGTCCATTTCTCGGCTTGAGGATATCTTCAGATTGGTCTGAGCTGATAATGCTAATGCTCATACTGTGTTTTGTTTACTCCCAATCACCATTGTCCACTGTCTTTTTTTTGTCCTTCTAGTACAAGTAATTGTAATGCTGACCAAACATTTCCCTACTCAGGAGAGCCATGCGCATGTGTCCATAATAATATATCCCAAACCTGCAAATGATGTCCTTTACGCCTCGTTTAGTCCACTTCCTGGTCCATCCTGTTCCGGTCCCGACGAACTGGCCAGGCTTCGGCAGAAGATCTCCGACTTAACGGACTCTCTGAACCGCAAGACGGAAGAGGTCGAGGCCAAGTGCTTGAAGGTGGCAGCCCACTACCGAGCCAAACTAAAGGTCCTTTTTACTGACCAGCAGGTACCATTATATTTTCCTCTATGCCTTGATTCCTGTCGCCTCATGGCCTAAGTTTGTTAACGATATGTGAGTCACATCCTGCCCACATCCTGTCCGAACATTTCTAGTTTTCTTGGCTAATTAGTCAGCCTACCTTATAGGATAATCTGACTTTATGCCCAGAAGAGGGATCGAATTCTATGCGTCCACATATTTAAATTACATCCATCCACTGCTGGGAGACAGTGATAAGCCTTACTGGGTCAGGTTTTCATCGAGTGTGGCGTTTGGTCGCGGGTTACCACGGCTCTGGCGTGGGCCAGATCTACAGTGTTGCACTTGATGACACCCATGCCCAGGTCGGGTCGCGGGATTGGCGGCCTGCGTCAAGAATGCAACTTTGTTGGCCAGTCAGTCAGCAGTTCTGTTCCATAACTGAGACTGGCATCACCCACTCCACAGCGCATAGTCAGGTTTTGAATTTGTCATACTGTGCGTGCACCAGCCTCTAAGGCTGGCGCACACATTCCACGGGTTTTAGCGCCTTTCCTGCTGACTTCGGGTCCGAGATCAGACAGGCCTCATGGATGCGCTTGAGATCCGAGGCCGGTAGACTGTGCACAACCTCCAGCGCTTCCAAAGAACGATTAGGCTGGCATGCGACCCCCTAAGGGCTTCGGGGGATACCTCTCCAGCATGCCGGACAATCGCGCTCAAACTTTCGGAATCCTCTGGGGTAAGTAGGAAAGGGATGTTCCTCCAAGGTGCGGTCTATCATCAAAGGTAGGGCCTAGTGGGGCCAATTATTGACCAAGCAACAAGCAAGTTATTAAAAATCGCAAAGTCTTGTCGAGGCTCATCCTGGCAGCAGGGGGATGGGGGATGGGGATGGGGGATTCTTTCCGCGACGCCCTATCTGTCTTAGTTTTGAAGCAACGGAGGAATGGGGGGGGTCGTATCAACGTCGCATCGACGTCCCCTTCTCTCCATCCGCCTCGTTATGGAAAAAGGCGAATCAGGGCCAGAGTTAAGCGCTCCGCAGCCGGCGCCTGTGTCTCCCAAGCCCTGCGTCGGACACGCAGCCTCTCCTGTGTCTGACACGCAGACGCTCCAGCGTAGAACGTGCCCCCGCCGCAGAGCCGAACGCGCACCGACTCCATTGCTGGACGCGTGACCCATCCTTTGTCGACACGCAGCCTCTCCTGTGCCGGGCACCCTGTCCCTTCTGTGTCGGACATGCGACCTCTCCCGTGCCAGACATGCCGCCTCTCCTGTGCCGCGGCAACTCCAAAGCCCAAAGTGCACCCACCCTAGTGCCGAACGCGCGCCCACTCCAGTGCTGGACACGGGTCCTTTCTTGTGTCAGGCGCGCGACCTCTCCTGTGCCGGATACGCGGCCTCCCGTGTGCCGGAAATAGGGCCGCCCGGGTACCAAGCGGCTGTTCCTGCGCCGGACATGCGGTCTCTCATGTGCCGATACGCGGCTAGTTCAGTGTCGAACACGCGGCCTTTCCCGTGCCCGATGGCCGCTCCCGTCTCGGACACGCGACGCCTTCTATGCCGAACACCTGGCCGCTCCCGTGCCGGGCATTCGACAGTTCGGCGACCGAAGTAGCGACGCTCCAGAGGGGGATTCCGCCGTTGCAATGAGGTACTGGCGCCGCACGCCCCGTTAAAATGCAGAACATTATAATGGCACAGCGCGGCTTGATGCAAAAGTATTTCACACCTTGCCCTGTTTTTTTCTGAGTCCCTGATACGTGGCCATAAGATCCTAGGTCCATAGCTGGAACATTTGACGTACTTTCGTAACTATGCCCAGCGTGGAAACAGACAACAGGACAGCGCAGAAATGCTATGAGCGGTTACAAGATGAGCGTTGCCCAAACACACTTGAAAGAATATGGATTTTGAAACCCGCTGTTGATATAAATTAGTATGCAATCAGAATCGCCTCTAAACCCTAAACAAGGCCGTCATATAACGAGACAGTCGCAGGGCTAGAAATCTGAAAAAAAATCAACCAATGTCGCTAAGCACGGCTCGTTTCGCCAACATTGACCCACCACCCATGCAGCCCAGGCCATGGTAATCATGTAATAATGTAATGCTTATGATGCAATCATGACAGTAACGAAAAAAAGTAGCAATCCAGGGCATGGGGCACGTTACGGCCCTTTATGCATGCTATGCGGCCGCTGACTAAACATGTTCTCACATTTCTCCGTCCATGCAGCGTCTTAGCTTTGAAACGAACCGATGGGCCCACCAGCCTGAGCCCACTGCGCCGGCCACTCAAGCACTAAGACCTACGCCGTAACCACTGGGTTTCTTGGCATGACCAGCAAATGATACCTCAGTGCAAGCGAATCATTCGAAACAACGACCTGCATGGTGTTTATGGCTCGTTGCATTTCATTTAGCTTTGTTTTGTGTGGTTTAACGCATTTATAATGATATTGCGAGCGCGGTAATATGCATTTGTCTCCAGTTGGCATTATAGGCCATTCCAGATTTCGTCGCTGACAGAACAGACACCTGTTCAGCCCTTCTATTAGCCTACTTCCGAGAGCCGCCTTGATTTAAATATTGGCAACCAGAGGTGTCACTTCCAAAATCGGTTTGGGGGTGTCGGCTGAAAAGGTTGACCTCACCTACCCCTAACACAGGATGTATGTCTGGTTCTCAGCTAGTTGAATTCGCTCCCTCGATGCTAAAATTTAAAAAGGTTCGAACGAATTGTTGATTCAAACTGGTTTCCTTGGGGAGGAATGACTTCCCATTTCAAGTTGATGAGAGCTGCCTTTTTGTGAAAAACCTGTGCTGAGGTGTGATTCGCCGAGAAAAAAGCATCCTAGTAAGCCTTAGTAAGGGATCGCTGACGACTTCCGCTGTCGCTGATCGTATTGTACAACCAACGCAGTCACGATTATGCGACAAATACGGTTGTCACTGTTGGGTGAAAAAACGCGTCAAATTTTATCAGGGTGACCATGCACCTTTAAAAGTCGTCACATGTTGCAGCGTATGGTTCTGTATCTCAATCCCAAAGTGACATCCTGTTTGTAGCATGTGTGTAACCGCAAAACCTACTTAGCTTAGAGCTTAATGTTGTCTGGTTGTAGTGGTAGCTGGAAACGTAAGCGATCAGTTAGCTTGTCTCCTGAACCTGCAGTTTAGTGTCTCAATATGTCTACATTGATGGTGCAGAAAAGACAATATTGAGGCCAAAAGCCTCAACAAACGTCGTACATGCGGTCCGGTTGAAAATCAAGGCTGTTTGTGGGGGAGGTCGTTGATAGGGGGAGTAAAGCGTATATTTTTAAGTGTTGTAGCAACAGCAGCTGGCACGTAGCCAAGGTCATCATCGGGGAAGAGGTTATGGGTATGTGGGCATGTGTGGTGGCAAATGCCAAATTTTATTGCGACCCTACAAATTTTCACCGAATGCCTTCGAAATCGCTCTATAGCTCATGCCATCCTTTTGGCTCAAACGGGGGCATGGCGCCCATGCACCCTCTCCAACTATCTCTGGGCGGCAGTTTGAGGTCAAGTGCTGTTTGACTTGCTAGGCTGGGAAAGATGCATGTAGAGGTACCATTTGAGTACCAAAAGGAGCATCCACCGCATGGCCTGCAGAATATTAGTACAATAACCTTATCTTAGTGTGTCAAATTGCAGGGGTGGTTGAATTATGTTGAAGTTGCAAACAGATGTGGCTTGTAAAATGTTTTTTTGATACTCCTTGCCTGAAATTACCTTTGCAGCCCCATGATTCCCTAAAACATTGGCTCTGAACACTCAATTGGTACCTCAGTACTCACTTTGATGTTTGCATACTTTGGTCAACAACATGATACAGTCATGTTCAAGATGGTGGGTAGTTGTGATATGGAATGTAATGATGAAAAGGTTGCAATGTCTCAGTGCTGATTACCATTACTGATGTAAGTAAACAGGAGACAGGCAAAACAAGTGCTACCAGCATTAAAGAAATTAAGATGACCTGCTTACAGTGCTTAAATGTAATATTCAATAAGGTAGTGGCATGTTAAATGAATTCTTTAGCAATGTGCCCTTTTCACAAAAACAAAATATTAAAATAGTTACATAAATTATTTGATAAAATATTGACAAACATAAATATATGTACATATATACATAAATTATGTTACATAGGATATTTGATACTTAATCAAGCTCTTTGATTCTGTCAGCAGGGGCATTTACCAATAATTCCTTAACAAATAGAACTCAACAAATGTCAGATTTATAATTATTAAAAGAGGCCATCTTAATTCTCTGTGCCTTACCATGCCTTATATAGCACAAGCACTATATCACCTGAGGGCTATTGCAAATATACAAGGATAGTTTGAAAATATGATAAATATTAGGGGCTAAATAGAACTGAATTAAAAACAGCAGACTATTGTTGATTAATATGAAATAATGTCTGTAACATTATAAATGAATATGACACCTTGTTTTCTATTGTTATATTTAATCCAAGCATCTTTGAAAGGATAAATTATGGGATAACAGCTCATGCTAAGCAGTGCTTGTTGTGTGTACCCTGCCCTCTTCCATCTGATGTGCAATTTTACAAAAGGCAGAATCTGGTGGGGAAAGTTTGATGTGCTTCAATACTTGGCAAGGTCTGTCATGCCCTCTGATATCACCTAAACTTTCTATAGCTGCTACCACTGGCTGCAGGCCATATCTGCTGAGGACAGCTGGCAAGTACCTAAGGGTGCCTAAACTGACTCAGACCTGCCAAATCAATTCAAAACATAGAACCTTATGTAAAGTGCTCACAAATAGATGAAAAACATACAGTATTGCTAGAATTCTGCAAAGAAACCAGGAAGCAATGATTTTTCTTGCTGCAGCATGTTGCTTGCATAAGTCATTTTGATAGATACAGCTTGCATAGCATTCTGAAGCATTTTGTTACAAGCAATCAACAGGTGATAAGCTTCTTCAGACACATGGTCACAGTGATAATGCTACTCACCCTCTGGTAACTTGATTTGTCAGTTACAGCATACAGCATCAGATCGGAAGAATATTGCTTTGTATGTTAGTGGTACAATTCTGATGTCTGTGATTATTGTATGCTATAAAGTTGTGTTCTTAAATATTTTCTAATAGTAAGAAGGTGGTAGAAGTTCAGCTCTACAACTTGGTAACACAGTGCTGCCCTTTGCAAATATAATGAAAAAGAAATTGTATATTGTGCCCAATTGCATGATGCTGTGCTTTGTAGCTGAAGCAAAAGGAAATAACACATGTGACATTGTATTATTTCATAGTGTATGTGTTAAGTGAATGAATGAGTTTATTTAGGATATATTTGTGTTTTGTTTCTTTCCATCCACAGTCTGTGCTTCATTTAGCATTAGGATTGTTCATCCTTCCACTACATTTAAACAGTTCTCATGCTTTACACCCTAATTCACAACTAGAATCCAGGACATTTGCAGTTCACGTGATGCACAGGCTATATTATCCACAACTTCCTCCATACATTTTGTGCTGATTCCCTCCCTTCTTATGTTTTCACCTTTTAGTGTGCTACTATTCCACAACCACTGACATCATGCCATTTATAATCCTCAAACTTCCACTGTAACCTCCTTTGTGGCTCTGTTGCAGTCTGAAGATGAATTCCAGCCACCAGGATGCCTCAGCACCCAGGCGCAGGGCTAGCTTCACTGAGCCCTTGATGAAGCTCTCATCATACGTGCTGGCGCTGCGGCCATGGTCATTCTCCGCGTCGCTCATGCCCGTGCTACTCGGCTGCGCGCTGGCATACAAGGTATTAAGTCTGAGGACGCTGATGTGATGCTTTGTGGTCGTATGGAGTGGTCATGTCCACAAAGATGCTCGCCGCTTCGCGTGAATGCACATGTTGACTTGTGGTGCTTCAAAGGGAAAAGCGTCTTGGCCTTAGCGAAACAGCTACTGCCGTACCTCAGGTGCCACGGAACGCCTCCCATTATCGTGAGTGCGCTACGCAACGCCTCCCATTACCGTGAGTGCGCCACAGAACACCTCCCACTCCTGGGGTGCGCCACGGAAGCCTCTCATTACCGGGGGTGCGCCGATCTGCCCCCTCTCATTACCGGGGGGTGCCCCTGTCCGCCCTCCCTCTCCCATTACCGGGAGTGCGGCCGTCTGCCGTCCGACTGACACAGCGTGGCGAGCCACAGGTGGCCGGCGAGCTACACGTCTTCGCCGTCTTCCTGACGGCCGTCACCGCCATCGCCGTGCACGCAGCCGGCAACGTGGTCAACACCTTCTACGACTTCGTCAAGGGCGTAGACGTGTCGCGTAGCGACGACCGCGTGTTGGTGGACCACCTGCTGACCAAGGACGAGATCGCCACACTCGGCGTGCTGCTCTACCTGGTGGGCTGCCTCGGCTTCAGCCTCCTCTCCATCGTATCGTCGGCACGTATGGAGCACTTGGCGTTCGTGTTCTTCGGCGGTTTGTCCAGCTCGTTCTTGTACACGGGCGGGCCGGGGCTGAAGTACGTGGGGCTCGGCGACATCCTCATTCTGATCATCTTTGGCCCCATCAGCGTGCTGTTCTCGTTCCTGGCGCAGACGGGCTACGTCCAGTGGCCGGCGATGTTGTACGCCGTGCCGCTAGCGCTCAACACCGAGGCCATCCTACACAGCAACAACACGCGTGACCTGCAGGTCGACAAGCAGGCCGGCATCGTCTCGCTAGCCATCACCATCGGCTACACGGCCTCGCGCGTGCTGTACGCGGTGCTGCTCTTCACGCCGTACGTGCTGTGCATCGTGCACGGCGTGCACTACTCCACCTGGCTGCTGCTGCCGTGCGTTACCATGCCAACGGCCTTCAAGATCGAGCGCGAGTTCCGCACAGTCAGCATGCAGGACACACCCAATAGCACGGCCAAGCTGAACGCCTACCTCGGCCTCTGCCTGGTGGTGGCCATCCTGATGTCGGACGCGCGCACGCTGCCCTACCTGACACCGCACGAGGCCTGACTGGCGGGCGGCGCACGCCCGGCCCCGGCGCTGGTCCAGCTTGGCGCGCAGCAGCCCGGCGGACACCGGGTCTGGTCTGTCGCGCCCACGGCACGGTCTCGGTGCCGTGGCTGCGGGAACGGAACGCGGCGGGCGGCCGAGCCTTCGGTGGTGGCCGACCGCGTCCACGACGTTGGGTGAAATCGGAGCGGGTGCACGTGGTGGGGACGGTGCGCGGTGCAGGTGTTGTTTGCCATTGCGGCTGTGGACGAGCCATGTGCCACGTGACCCGAGCTCTTCGGACAGGCAGCGGTCCATGCGGGCGGCTTGCGCTTTGGCCGTTGCACCATATGTGACTGTTTCGAGTTGTTACGCGTTTTCACGGCTGTGGTCTACCCTCCTGTCTCGGATGCGTCGCGAAGGTGCATCCTGCTGGTTTTCTAGTAAGCTGGCCGGGTGTCGGGTTTCTACGTTTTGATGTGTGTATCTCAGTCTACGCCGCGAGTACGGAGCGCCTGCGTCGAAAATACTCAGTGTTTTGTGCTGCATTTTGCCGCGATTGTCACGTGACTGTTACGTCTCGCTGGTATCCCGCTCTCAAGCACGGCCATATCGCGACTGTTGCACGTTGTTGGTGTATTTATTTCAACCGATCAAATACAATGCGGATGAGACCGCCCTCAGCGATGTGTCCGTCGCCGGCGGCTCCGCAGCAGCCCGAGCAGCGAGCGGGGTCCCCATCACCGCGGCCCAGCCGCTGCGACACGGAACGGCGGGACGGGAGCTGGCTACTGCGGCACGAACAGCTGGCGGCCGGTGAAGGTGCGCCGCTCCACGCCGTTGGCAGTGATGATGGCCACGCGGCACACGCCGCCGCTCGAGCCGTCTCGGTGGATGGCCAGCGACACGGCTGCAATAGAGCGCCCGTCAGGCTACCTCCACGCCCGGCCGGGGGGAGGGGGTCGCGTCACCAACCACACACATCGTCGTGGGTCGGGGAAAAACCGTGGCTCCAGCGGTTTGACGTCACAGGCACTTCCAGCGTGGCCTACCGCCAACCAGTGCCACAGCCACCTGCCGCTGGCTGCGGAGTGCACCCGGCTCTCGCAAACTATCGACGCACACAAACATGTATATATATATATATATATATATATATATATATATATATATATATATATATATATATACACTTCCGCAGGGCGCCCACTTTGAACCTGTCAGTTTGCTGAATAACTGCGTCGGTGGCCTCTGCCGCCGTTTACATCCCGGGCCTGTGGGCGTGCCGAAGCGCACGGCCGAAATTGCATCCGGTGGGCAGAATATTGGAGTACGTCGTTTGCTGTCAGCTTGAATCACATGGTTCGCTTGCACCCGTTCCCACCCCCGGAAATGAGGCATTTGCAAGCACTAAGGTTCATCAGGGTTCACGTCACAACAAAGCGTACGATACGAATTCTAACGAGAAACTTTGGACAAAGAATACCGCTTGCATAAAAGTACGTGCGGAGCTTTGGAGGACCCCGAACGTCTGGCCAATCGCACGCATGGTGGGTGTTATGACAATCACAAAACGTGTCAAAATTCAGTGGGGATGGAACAGCTTAGAGAAATGTCGCATAAGTGTCGCAGCGGTACAAAATAAAGGTTGGTGCGCGCGGCGGCACCAACTCTTGTTGACCACCTAAGCGTATGGCGATCCTACAGATTACAGAACCAAGTTGATAATGATCCCCGTGGAAGGGCTCTACTACCATTTCACTGAATGAACATGCATTATTAAGTGCAAGACAAAGACTCCTTCCATGCGAGAAGAAACAGGGAGAGTGGCGTTTGGGGAATCCTAGGGATCGACGCCATAACCCAAAAGCGTTTCTCCACGCATAAAACTTGGAGCGCTTTTAATTATATAAGACAGTAGCAATAGCCTCATTCCTCCGAGTAAAACCAGGAGAGTGGAGATATAGATGTGTTGATATTTCGGCAATATAGCTTTATCGAAACAAATCAGACGTTATTTGTTTTTTATTTGAAGTGATCTATTTGTTGCTATTGTTTCGATAAAGGCATATTCCCGAAATATCAACACATATTCATCTTCATTCTCCCATTTCTTCTCCGAGGAATGAGGCTATTACTTCTGTCTTATCTACGCGAATAATGCTCCTCGCAAATGCACTCAACAACTTACATAGTCTTCTGATTATCATACAACGCTCCAAACTACGCAGCAGCACGATTAGCACGAACAAGATGCGCAGGGAGCATGGGGTTGGGACGCTACGCTGAATATTTCATGAGAATTGACAGCTTTGGTAAAACCAGGCATCACAGCT